ATGCCACTTACATAGTAGCAGACCCAACGACATTCCCTTTGTATTCCATCGGCGAGACGTAAGTTTTGAGAAGTCTGTATGAGACGGGACTATTTGTCATAAACCTACCGCAGGAGATTCAATACGTGTTTATCACACACAAACCGTCTTTCTGTTGGGAATTCGCTGGATGCATTTTGTCTTTTTCTTTTTCTTTTCTCATTTATGTTAAATGTTTTTATTCTCCCTGTAACCTCTGTTCTGATGTTATCTTCTTATATAAAAGACGTCAATATTTCCCCCCATTGTTGTCTAGCTTCTGCAGATATTATTTCTTGTTTTATTTTGTCAGATTCTAAAATTCCTAGCGCCAACTCTCACAGCCATGTCTGCATCCCCAGTCGATCGTGAACATATGGACAACACCCCACTTACTGGATCTAAAAACTAACACAGCGTGGGCATCGAGCAGGACTTGACCAGTTGACCGGTCGAAATAATCTATGGGTACTCAGGGAGTGTACGGCCAGTTACCCCTAAATTCGGTTCGGACCAAGTGGACACCTCAACCCAAAGAGGAAGACGCCGGAGGGTGAGGGGCTGGGGACGAAGTGGTAGAACGACAAAATTTTCATTGTTGGTAATATTTTCTTTTTCTAAAAATCTATTTCTGGTAAGAATTTTTCTTCGCTGGTAATATTTTTTTCCAAAAAATGCATTGCTGGTAATAAAACCTATTTTGACACTTTCATAGCGTTTTGACCCAATTTGGTGTTAACTATTTACCCATAGCTGAGACCCTAACAGGTGCTACAACCCCAGGTCAAGGTGGACCTGGGAACACTAACAATTAAGAGGTGGTTCCACGCTTCTCAAAGCCTCCTGATCAGAGACCTTGCTGTTGAACGTAGTCTTACCCAGGACACTGATGTAGTTTATCGTCATACCCAGGACGCTCTACGGGAAATGGACTAGGATGTCTTTTAACAGAGGAATGAAAATATGACTTCGAAATCCGAAGGGACATTTGAATAGGGCAGGTCGATTTTGGAATCTCAGTTTGAACTTTGGGGTTTCATATTATAAATAACGACGCAATATATATATATATATATATATATATATATATATATATATATATATATTAAAATCGTTACGAGTTTAAAGATTAAGTTTAGGTACAAAATCATAGCGTTGGAATTCAATTCCGGTGATCAGTGAAAGCCATAGAGCAAAGGTCTTATGAAATTTGTAATTTTGAGGTCCTGGATATGACCTAAAGTTACATCCGACAATAGAGTCTTGACTAAGGGACAGAATTAGGGTACCCCAAACCATTGTTACCGACGGGTGATCCCTGGTTAAGATCTAACACCTGTTTGCCCCCCTACCACGGTTACATTATTGTTCATTTTTTTTGTGTGTGTGTGTGTGTGTGTGTGTGTGGCGGCATTGATATGTATGTGCGTGTGTGTAACTCATAGTGGTGGACGATCGGGAAAAAGTGGGAAGGAGGGAAAGTAAAATATTTTTTTCTTGTTCTATTCCTTAGTCTGAGGATTAACCTGAATGAAAATTGGGTGGGGGTGTAAGCAGAATGTGATGTTCGAGTGCGTTTCTCTGTGTGTGCGTGTATATGTCTCGGGGCGATAGGGGGGGATAAAATCTGTGCTTACCACTTCAAGGCAAGCACGCCGCCATATTTCTGTTCAGATAGAAAGTGGGACTGTGTTTCCTTCCTTTTTTATGGAAGAGCGTACATTGCTGGCGAACCGGAAGTCATCCGGGATTGGACAATAAATTGCCAAGAAGAGTCGTATGGTGTGTATTTTGGAAGATGGCAAAAGTTGTAACTGACGGAAGATCAGTATCGGCTGGGTTACCGTGGAGAGGGGGTATGATGTTGAATGACCCGAAACCCCTAATGAACCTCGACTAGAAACATCACTGATGATATGTACGAAAGCAAACAATAGATGTATTTTACGGAAATTTTGCAAATTCTATATGGACAAGATGCCTGGTACAATCACATTGTGCTATCAAGTAAGACCTTCATTTACGTAAAACGGGAATTATACTGAAAAAATTAACGATATTATGATGCAATATGTTATACATTGGTGTAGTTTTAATGTGATTTTCAAATAAACAATACACGTTTAAAACATTATGCACGGTGGAGTAATGGATAGAGGCTCGGTTTGAGGAATTGGAGAACCGAGTTCGAATTCCAGTCGAATCTATTATATTCATTTACGTGCTAATAACCTTGAAAAAGATATGAATCCTCTATTTCTCTCCCCCCCCCCCAAAGTTATGAGTAAAAAAACAGGACAGACTGGGTTCTATAGCTTTGGATGGAAACTGGTCTACCGCAGAAAGAAATGGCAATTTCTACTGCGGGAAAAAAATCTGCTTCGTCAGTCATGTATCGAAAGATACATGATCGCCTAAGCGTGTATCACGCATGGCACATAACTGAACTGTCTTATAATTATTGCCAAGCAGTATTATGGTGTTTTATCTATTTTTTTTTATTAATTATTATCTAACAAATGATCTAACAAATCTTATTCCTTGAGTAGCCTTTTTGAAATCTTTTAGAATTTATTTTACACAGTTGCTACTTATCAAATACAGTAAAAAAATGCATACTTTGTATTGTGATTCATAATTAGAATTCTGGTTGAAATATATTGTTCATGCAATGTATCTAATGCCAAAAATATCAGCATCTTTATGTGGATTTATTCATCAAATAGTAAAATTTGAAGTCCCTTTGTGAGCAAAGACCTGCGGACATTAGGTTTTTCTGTACATTTTTCAGATCTTTAAAACTTAAATGCTCAAAAGCTGGAGAAATCTATTCATGTAATTGTTGGTGTGATTACTTATTACATCAGACACCAGCTTTCACATCGGGCGCCATGATGATTTTCTAAAGAAAGTGAAAAATGATCCTGCCCTAACTGTTGAATAGCAACAGATCCCCTTTCAGAAACTGAGCGTGGTACTTAGAAACAGGAACAGTAACGAGTCGGACGAGCTTTATTTATTTGACGTGTTTGCTATTGATTTAGGATAATTACAAACATTTTGAGAATAAGAGAATTTGGAGTATTTTCCATTTCTAAGGTTTTCATTTTGTTCTAATTGGTTTAGTGGAGTTGATAAATAAAACATAAAATTAAGAAATAACAATCTCTATTATTCCACTAACATTTTCTAAATAAATAGAGAAACATCAAATTTTGTTTTTTTTAATAAACACACACACACGCATATATATATATATATATATATATATATATATATATATATATATATATATATATATATATATATATATATATGGTGACCCCACAAAACAGGAATTTCTGAAGTGCGTATTGCCAGACATGAGCAAGTGGCAACACTGCGAGACACTGACCTTGAGCAAGTAAATATTTCGCCATTTAGAATTCAAGATGAAATGCATAGTATCCCAGCTGAGATGTTGCAGCAGTCAATGAGGAATCTCAATAGCAGATTTCAAGAATGCATTCGTACAGGAGGACGCCATCTACAGGACGTAATTTTAAAAAAATGAAAATTCCATCATTGTTTCTTAAATGGCATGTTTTAAGGTTTCAACTACTATGAATAAAATATTTTTCTTCCATCGCTATTGATTTTATTGGATTGTTAAATAGTTCCCATTTTTTGGGGTCAGCCTGTATATATATATATGTACAGGGTGTCCATAAAATCCGTGTGAACTTTAAAAAAATTATAACTTTATTTGTATTTGCGATAGAAATAATCTGCAAAAAATGTTATAATCCAGTGTTTCAACAAGATGAAGCTGCTTGTCATTTTGCTCTGCGTTTTAGAGAGTTTCTAAATCAGGAATTTCCTAACAGATGCATCGGAAGTGGTTGCCCATTTTATTGGCTTCCACGTTCACCAGATTTGACTCCATTACATTTTTTTTTGATGGGGACATGTGAAAACAATTGTGTATGCAACCAAACCTTGTTCATTAGAAGATTTGAAAGCTAAAATAACTAATGTGATTTCAGGCATTACTGTAAATCAGTTGACAAATGTTTTCCGTGAACTGCAAAATCGTATTACCCTTTGTATTGCTAATGATGGAGGACATGTGTAAACTTAAATAAAATTTCAATAAAACCTTAAGAAATATAGATTTACTTCTTTTTAATACTTTTTAACAAATTATTTCTATCGCAAATACAAATAAAGTTATAAAGTGCACCCGAACTTTATGGACACCATGTGTATATATATATATATATATATATATATATATATATATATATGTGTGTGTGTATATATATATATATATATATATATATATATATATATATATATATGTATGTGTGTGTATATATATATATATATATATATATGTATATATGTGTGTGTGTGTGTGTATATATAAAGAAAGAAAGAAAGAAAGAAAGAAAGGGAATGAAAAAAAACTAGGAACTGAAGCTTGAGATGTGTAAATATCATAAAGAAACAATGCCTAAAAAATAAAAAAGAAAAGAAAGAAGAAAGAAATAAATAAAGAAAGAAAGAAAGAAAGAAAGGAAGAGAATGTGGAAGAATAAATAAAAAAATAATAAAATGACTGAAGAAAAAGGAAGAAGAAAAATAAGAAAAATACAAAAAAAGAAAGAAAAGAGCAAAAACGAAGAAAGAAAGAAAGAAAGAAAGAAAGAAAAAAGAAAACAAAAGGAGAAATAATAGGAAGTTAAAATGGAAAGAAGAAAGAAAGAAAGAAAAAAGAAAGAAAGAAAGAAAAAAGAAAGAAAGCATTATGAAAAGGAAGAAGAAAAATAAGAAAAATACAAAAAAAGAAAGAAAAGAGCAAAAACGAAGAAAGAAAGAAAGAAAGAAAAGAAAAAGAAAGAAAAAAAAAAAAAAAAAAGGAGAAATAATAGGAAGTTAAAATGGAAAGAAGAAAGAAAGAAAGAAAAAAGAAAGAAAGAAAGAAAAAAGAAAGAAAGCATTATGAAAAGGAAGAAGAAAAATTCCGTGTAGAAATCAGCTTCTTCTATGTGCTCTGTCCCTTCATGATGTAGGGGATCATGACTCTCCACAACTTCCTCTCTTTTACAGACTTGAGTAAAATTTGTTTTAGCTTATGTACTGCTATTCCCTATCCATATTGACTTCAAGATATCTTGTGATTGTTAACTTTTCAAGCCTTTTTTCCTCATTATGTGGAAATAGATACGCATCTTCAAATATATATATATATATATATATATATATATATATATATATATATATATATATATATATATATATATAGCATGGATAAGTAGAAAGGGCAAATAGAAACTAAAAGAAAAACAAAATTATTATTATTATCATTTAAAGCCTATCTCCACCAATTACAAGTAGAATCATTAAAAGCAGAATAGTGTTAACGTGTGACCTGGAAGTTCAAATGTCTTGGCCATCCTCAGTTGACTCAATCTCAAAGCACAAATAAAAATGGCTGTCACTAAAAAAAGGATGTCATGCACGTTTTTCGTTTTTTTGTTTTGTTTTTGTTTTTGCTTGCTTAGCCCCAGACATAAATGTCCATATCCTGTCGACTGTGGCGCCAGTCTAGACCCCATGGCGGAGGGACACTCGTTGTACACTTGCTGACAGTTTGACTAACTCATCCAGAATAACTTAAATATCGGTTAAAAGGTAGGAGCTAGGACTATAGTTTACAGGAGTTGAAGATGAAACCGCGACACAAAAAGGTCATTTATTAATGAAAAAAGGAAGAAAGAGTAAGAAAGAAAAGAAGAGGATATAATCATACAACAAAGGAATAGTAACTGAAATTATAGATTTTTTTTACAGTAAGTTTCACCCTGTACAAGGCCTAAGAGCCACTCGAGATAGAGGATTACCTTAAGTGGTAGTTTATATGAATAGTAGAAGATAACACTTGACTCTACTTTAGTGTAAACCATTATCTTTCCCACATTTTTTATTCGACAAGGATGTGTCTTCTTCCATGATTTATTTAATGTCTATAGCGTCACTATCCTCAGAGATGTGGAGAGCCTACCATGATTTCTTATCGGTCGATCTAATCTTAACAATAGGGACCTCAACTTTTTTGGCATAAATTTTCGATACCTAAGGTTTAAAATTAAATTTTTAAAATGAAAAATCTTTCTTGAATTTTAGCTTTAATTGAAAGTTTAATAATTACATTTATTATTTGCATTAAGTAAAATATTCTGGAGTATTTCAGATAGAAATTATATAGATTGGAATGTCAAATTTAATTTTGATTTCTTAAAATTTTCTTAAAAGCGGCCAATTTCTTTATTTTAAGAAATTTGTAAACAAAACAAGTTTTTCTATTTTAAAATTCATTCAAAAAATAAATATATATTTCTGACACGTTATTTTAGTAAAATTAGAAAATTTAAAGTTAAATTAATCTGATTTGAAATAAATATTACTTATAACAAAAAATAATATACACCCAATTATTAACGATTGGTCCTGTTCATCTGATGCAACGTTTGATGGACTGCTGATAGACAGCTACTATGGATGAGTCAATTGTCAGAAATCTAAGTGAATGCATATTTTTGGTTTTTAACTACCTAGTAATTTTTACAAATGAAGCTATTCTCTGCAATTATTTAATATTTTATTGACTTTTATTTACCTTTCGAAGATGCAAAAATAAAAAAAAAACATTTCAAAATACTATAAAAGTTTCTTCAATTAATTTTATAATTTAATAACAAATGAAATACCATGATTACTCAATTGAAGTATGGAGCACACTAATGTAAATGCATAAAATAAAAATATTTAGCGAAATAGTAATTGAAAAAGTAAAATTAGTTTAAGCTTTAAACTTTTAAAGGTGGATGGAAATTTTGAAACCCTGTTGAAAAGTAACTGAAGCGACTTAATAAAGGGACAATACTTTTAGATCATTATAATGGCAATTTCAGTCTACCGTACATGAAAATAATGAACGTATTAAGTAAAAAATGCAAAATAAAAAAATTATTTTAAAGACAGAATAGCACAACTAAGTTGATTAATCTTTTCAATTTTGGATTTGTAAATTTTGTTTCCACTTAATTACTATATCACATCCAGGAAATAGACCAATACAGAATTTTACACGGTTTTAAACTATTATAAATTATTATAAATAATTTAAAAAAAAAATAAAAAAATTCTTGTAAAACTTCATTATTCATCAGAAAATTTTTATTTCTTCAGACAATAATGTCCTTAATATTACTTATTTACAAAAGCAATTAAAAGCATTTTTAATGTCATAGTTTTATTGGATTCATTATTTTTCAATTCAGAGCAGATTTTCAGTCAGATAGCGCAAATGTGAAAAAAAGGTGATTTACAATCTCCAAGGACTCCCACTTTTGACAAAAAAAAAAAAAAAAATCAGGAAATAGAAAGGTTTTGTGCGAAATTTTATGAAATTAAGTAGAGGGTAACATATTTTTAAAAAAAATATTTTTTAATAAAATTTTCTATAACAACTATTTCAAAAATAATTTCATTCATTTGTGAATACGTTCTGAAGATTTCATTAAAATCGGAGAAATACTTGATTTTTACAAGAATTTCCAAATCAATGTGTTTTCAACGGAAAAAACGCAAAAAAAAAACAATGTTAGTTTTATGTCACTGCGATGACGTAAACAAAAGAAGACTTTAACCAAAATTTTGAACGTGTTAGAAAGGATTAAAACATTTCAAAAAATAATTAAAAAAATACTTTGGTCTTTCATCTTAATAATAACATAAGCATTTTGACGATAACTTTTTATTTTCGTTAAGTTTGTGGCATTTTTCATTACGCTATCTGTTTTCCCGCGAAAAACCGGAGGATCTTGCTTAACAATATTAGACATTGTTGATGTCTAACTTGACAGAAAACTACAGGACCTACAAACCAAATTAGTAGAAAAAAGCGAGAAGAAACAACAAAACTTCAACAGCAAGAACATAGAAAGTATGGTCATCAGCATGAGACAAATCCCAAGATGCGAGTTACAAATTGGAGATGTCAACAGGGAGAAGGTAGAGAAGTCTAATTCTTTTTTTGTTTTTTTACAGTATGGATCACCATATAAAAGACCAGGTGTCCATTCGAGGTAGAGGGTAGAGTAAGAGGTAGTTTATATGTATAGGAGGGGAAGATAGCGTTTAACTCTAGTCTTAAACAGGTTAAAATTGTAGCGATCGGGGAAACATCCTCTAGGAAGTCTGTGCCACAGAGCAGTGTTTCACGGGAAAGAGCTGTTCGAGTGGAACTTATTTCTCGCTGATCGAATACGGGGGCAATGTGGGTGGTTTGCCACCATGTAAGTGGCATGGCAGTTCCTACCCGTGAAAGTTAGATATGGCAGAAGCAAGGAATATAGTTCGTCCGAGCACATTTCATGGAGGTAGCGATAGAGCAGTGAGAAACTCGCTACCGCTGCCTGTGGGAGAGAGGTTGGAGTTTGGTAACTGGGCAGCTACCGCCCAAATATGACAAGAGTACCTCATTTTCGGCCTGATCTCGCTGCTATAAAGGTAGAGAATAGCATGAGGAATCAGTTATTTACTAGAATAGTAAAAGGGAGCCGATGTTTTTACCTGACTCTTTAACGATGGATAGTATATAATATTTTCACTTTTTTTTTTAAGCGTTTCACCCCAAGCAAGACGGGAAGCCTCAAGGGGTTACAGAAAATTGGGAGCAAGATCAGATAGGAGTGATAGAGGAAAGGATGAGGAGAAGGATAGCGGATAGATCAAGGCAACTGGAGATGTCGATTGACATCACATTTGAATATTTGGAGATTATAGCTCTCAGGGAAACTGGAATAAGGAAGGGAGTTCCGCAGGCGAGAGGTGCGAGACATGAAGCTATTAGAGTAGAAGAGACGGCTACATTTAGTAGTTTCGACAGTGAAAGGGTGAGAGCGGGATGCCAGCCTCGTCAGGCGCTTGAATCCATGAAGTCTGGGAACCAGCGAATACAGCTCCTCGGAGCAATTACCATGAAAGTATTAGTAAAAAAGACAGAGAGAGGCGACGGCGCGTCTGTAAGAGAGCGACTGTAGACGAGATGCTTGAGGTCTGGTATGAGTTTGAGGCCAAATATTCTCTCAAGACACGATGCCTCCTCTAGGGGAAATCCATTCATCGTAACTGGCGGTAGTTCGAGGACTGATCGGCGGTGATGTATCGTAACCACTTTGGTCTTAGACGCATTGAATGAGACCAAGCAGTTTCTTTTTCCAGCGGGAAGTTAGTGCTTAATCGGAAGAGAGGTCAGCGTTTTAGAGCTGCACCTGTATATCATCATATCATATTCATAAATGTTTCCAAATGATCTGGGTATATTCTTAGGCAGATCATTTATGTAAGTCAGAAAGAAGATTAGTCCGAAAAGTGACCCATGTAGGACGCTAGTGCTGATCGCCAGGGCCTCGGAGGACTGTCCGTTAATAACTAACTTCAGGGATCTATGAAAGATATTATAAACTAGAAAACCGTTCCAGTGATTCCATAATGTGTAGCGAACCTTTGTGCCACACTTTGTCAAAGACCTTCGCGATATCTAATGCTATGGTCCTCGAGGTGTGTGTGTGTGTCGTCAAGAGCCTCACTAAGTTTGTGTGTAATGATAGGACATCAGCAATGGATTGGATCAATCGAATCCCATACTGCTCGTCGCACAGGAGGTTGTTGCTGTCTAAGTACTCGACAAACTTCTTGTTGATCAAAGGCTCGAAAAAAATTAAAGCCTGCTTTCCTGCCTTTCTTGGAGTAAAATGATAAAAACAAGTATGTAAGATTTCCACTTGAGTTCGGTATGAGTTTGACGCCAAATATTCTCTCAAGACACGGTACCTGCTCGAGGGGAAATCCATTCATCGTGACTGGCAGTAGTTCGGGTTCTGATGGGTGGTCATGGAATGTAATTAATTTAGTCTTCACAGTATTAACTATA